TCTCTCCCTTCTACCGTTTCTCCCTCCCTCCTCCCCTTTCCCATTTCCATCTCCCTCCCACTATCCCCCCCTCCACCCTTCCCTCCCCCCCTCCCCCACCCCCCCCATCCCCCTCCTTACCCCCCCCCCTTCCAAAACCCACTTCACAACCTCCCTCCCCCCTCCCACACAACCTCCCTCCCCTCTCCCACCCGCCAACACCCAACCACGACCACCTCGCGCAAGACGTCCGAGATCGTCTCGCGCCGGGCGCGCCAGCCGGCGATTTCTGCTTCTTCTTTACTTCCACTTGCGCTTCCACTTCCACTTCCACTTCCACTTCTACTTCCGCTTCCACTTCGATCTCCCGCCTCCGCGCCCTCACCGCGAGCATAAGAATATCTCTTCTTACCCGCATCATCATCATACGAAGAAAGCGAAGAAAGCGCAGCCCCAGGATGCCGTTCCCAGAACCAAAGGATCTCTCGGCGGGCGATAAGCGAGAGGCTAGACCAGTAGACTCGTTCCATGTGTTTTCCATCCCTTTCTCCTTCCCACTCTTCCCTTTCATCCCCCTCCCCCCCACCACCACCAAAATCAACACCAACCCCATCACCAAAATCAACACCAACACTCCACCCCCGAAAATCCCACCTCTCCCCCGCGCCGCCCACCACCGGCGGCCTCTCCCCCCCCCGCATAAACGCCTCCAACACCTTCCCCACCCCCCGCCGATACGCCGCCCACTCCTTCTCCACCCTTCTCGCAAGCCGATCCCGCTCCTCGGCGGCGCCGACGTCCCGCGCGAGTAAGCGCTGGAAGCGCTCGAGCGGGCCGTCGAGACATCTCTGGCGGGTGTGTGCGTCGTCGGAGGGGAAGCCGAAGTTGAAGCTTGGGAGGTGTTTGAAGATAGATCTTAAGCCTGATGCTGATGCTGATGCTGATGCTGATGTTGTATTCTCGTCGAAACACTTCCGCGTCGCGGTAAGGATGTAGCGGATTTCTCGTCTGCGGCTGTGCTGGTTTTGGCGCGCGGAGAGGAGCTCGTGCGCGAGAGAGGTGTGGAGGGCGGAGAGGTGGGTGGAGAGGTGGGTGAGGTGTTTTTGGAGGCGGGCGGCGGGGGGGTGGGTGGTGGCTTGGAGGGGGGTGTAGAGGGGTTCGAAGGGGTGGTCGGTGAAGATGTCGAGAGGGGGGGAGATGGAGAGGGGGGGTGGGGGGTGGGGGGGGATGATGGATGGGAGGGGGGGGAGTAAGGGTGATTTATAGTGTTGAGGGGGTGATTTAAAGTGTTAAGGTTGAAAGGGCTGATAAGAGGAGGAGGAAAGTAGTGAAGGGTGTCCGTGAAGTAAGAGCTTGGATCTGAATTAAGGCCGGAATTTGCGTTTGGGTTGCGGGAGGATGTAGACGACGAAAGAGGAGGGAGGAAGTAAGAGACGAGTTTGAGTTGGTGGATGAGCAGAGGGTGGTTGGTTGAGAGGTGGTGGAGGAGGGAGGTGTGCAGGATTTGGGCGAGGGCGTGGGCGTCAGCGTCAGCGTCAGCGTAAACTTCAGCGTCGCCGGTAAACGCAGCAAAGACATCCGTACATCCAGCGGCGGCATCGGACGCAGACGCAAAGAATCGGCTGCATCGATACCACTTCTCAAACTGCAGGTTTGCATGGTCGGCATCGGCATTAGCGTCGGCGGCGTAGACGGATAGAACCCGAGCAGTGATGTTTTCGGCCTCGTTTAATTGCGCGCAGATACTCGACGCGGATCTTGGGGATGTTGTGTTTGAGGTTGATGATGGATGGAAGGTTGAAGTTTCGTTCGGATTGCGTAGATATATCGCGACCGCGACGGCTGCGAGGGCTGCGAGGAGGGAGAGGAGCCATATTGATGGAGTCGTTCGGGCTTGTCTTTGTCTTTGTCTTTGGCCCGGTCTTTGTCTTCGTGCCGGTCCTCGGCTTGCGGGATTGAAAGGCGGGGGAGGATGGAGGATGGTGTACGGATCGGTGTTGCGACGGCGGCGAGGATAAGGGGAGTGGTGCAGAGGGGGGTATTGCAGGTCGTCGATGACGCGGTCAATGAGGGCGCCGAGGGGAGGGACGGGTGGTTGAGGGGGGGGAGGAGGAGGGCGAGGGCGAAGGCGTGGGGGAGAGGACATGGGATGGTTGTTGGGTGGTTGGTTTGAAAGAGGAGGATGAGATGAGAATTGAGATGGGCGTGGATTGGATAGGTGTGTGCAGGATGTTGAGGATGTGGAGGATATAAAAGATGTGGAGGATATGGAAGATGTAGAGGATGTGCAAGATCTGTAAGAATTGCAAGATGTGCAAGATAAATGTGAAGGAAGTAAAGTGAGGATGTTGTCGCGAGAGATAGGTGGGATCGAGATGACTGGTCATTCTTGCCGTAGCCGTTGTTGCGGGTCCGAGTCTAAGCTTGGACCACAATCCCCGCGGCCGCGGACGAGCTGCTGGTCTGAGCTGCGTCACGTGGATCTTTGGATTGGTGTCGTGGCTGCGGGTTGACCGACCGGCAATTAGGAAGGCGGATTTGGTTACTCAGCCTGGCCCTCTTTGCTCTGCTTTGCTTGACTTGGCCGTGTCGTGTCGTGCCGTGCCTATCGCATCCCATCCTATCGCATCCTATCCCAGCCCAGCCCAGCTCAGCCCAGCTTACGGCCACGGCCATAGCACGGCCAGCCAACTCCTGGCGGCGTAATCGTCGGATTGGCCTCCCCGCATAAATAGGCCATATACTACTACTACCACTACCATTCTTATTGTTATTATTACACCCACCACTACCATTATCATCGCTACCCTTACCATCATCAACCTTTCTATACAATAGTATATCTAACTATTGCATCGCATTTCAAAACGAGCAATCATCTATTTGCAATAATCATTCTGCATCCTACCTTAACGACGTCCATCTTATTCCCCGTCTCGAAATGCTTCCGACCAATCCGATCGTTATCTTTTCGCCCGCTTTATTTATTTATCTATTTATTTATTTGTTTTTTGATTTTCACCGTAGCATCTAGCCATCCGTTCACTTTACTTACTTATCTATCCATCTACTAAGCTAGGCCGAGCCAAAGTGAGGGCCTTAAGAATACGCACGAGCTACTTACTCGCCCATTCAACTGAAAAGCGGAGCCCGTCCATCTATCCATCCATCTATCCATCCATCCATCTATCTATCCATCATCTACGGCTACGGCTACGACGACGGCTCTAATCCTTTCTTCCTTTTCCCGATAAATCGCCCACTTATTCACTTACTTACATATCTATCCATCTTGCAATCTACCCGCTTACGCAGCTATCTTCTTTCCGCAGCAAGTTCATCGTATAAAGTATATATATATAGTATGCAATCTGCTTGACACGAAAGATTAATTATATCCGCTGCGTCGGCGCCTTTTGAATACGTGAAGCGGGTACGTACGTACGTACGTATATAAATAAATAAATAATCAACCAACTACTTAATCAATCCACGACCTACCCAATCCACCACCCAACCATTTAATCTCTTATCACCTACCGGTACTATATCATCCAATCTTTTCAATCTCTTTCCTCCCCTTCCAAGCAAAGCAAACTCAAACCCAAAGCCGCAAAGCTAAGCAAGCAAGCAAGCAAGCAAGCAAGCAAGCAAGCAAGCAAGCAACGCAACACAACACAACACAACACAATACAACGCAATACCCGCACAAAGCAACCTCTAACCTTAAAAATAACAACCACCGAATCCCTACACCGCATAAACATCCTTAACCTAAGCCCGTATCCATCCATCTATCTATCCATCTATCCATCTATCCACCTATCTAACAACAACAACAATAATAATAATAGTAAAAAAAAATAAAATAAAAAAACCAGCAGCATTACGCATATAGCAAAGCAAGTATCCTTCGCGTAGAAGAATACCAAACTAAACCAAACCAAACACCAAACACCAAATATCAAATACTAGCACCTTGCGACGTACTTATTTATTTATTTACTTACTTATCTACTTACTTATTTACTTATCTATCTATCTACTTATCTGCTTAGTAATAAAACCAGCGCTATATAAAAGAACGCTTTTTTAATTTTTTAATTTTTTTAAATTTTTTAATTTTCGGAATGTGAGAAGGGAGGGAGGAGGGAGGGAGGAGGGAGGAGGGAGGGAGGAAGGAAGGAGGGAGGAAGGAGGGAGGAAGAAGGAAGGAAGGAAGTTGTTGCGCTGAAAGCTGTGCGGATGTATGTATGCGTGCGTGTATGCGTGCGTGCAGGCAGACAGGGTTTTGTAGGGCGTGGGAGGTGAGGTAGGGTGAAGTAAGGCGTGGGAAGGGAGGTGAGGTGAAGTGAGGTGAGATAAGGTGATCGGAATTTATGCACTTATGCATAGACTTTGTTTTAAGTGTAAATACGACCTTATTTTATTTTACTTTACTTTTGGAAGTGGGTAGGTAGGTAAGTAGGTGGGTAAGTAGGTAGGTAGATAGGTAAGTAAAGTAAGTAAGTGATAGAATCAAGAGTTCAAAAGGTGTAGTAGTATTAGAATATTAGACTGTCACCTATATTCCCTTGGTTAGACTAGCCTCTTGGCTCTTGGCTGTTCTCTTAGGAACACCTGTACTTAGCTCTCAGTACTCTCACACAGTATGAACTACACTTTTTATACATTTGATTCTATTATGATTATCACCAACGGTGACCTAAGATAAATTCCAGTAGTTGTGGTAGTGATAAGTAATCTAGTAGTTGTGGTAATGATAAGTAATCTAAACGTTATAATAATGGTGAGTAATCTAAGGGTCTTAAGGTTGTAATAATAGTTAATCATCTAATCACGTAAGACTATTCTATACGGATCTAGCAGGATTTGTAAGCGTGGTAAGACTTTTATTCTATATTAATTTATTAAACTTTTTTTTAAACGGGTCGGCTCGAATTAAATATAAAACACAGCTAAGCTTAATTTAGCCACCGTTATCAATTCTGCTGCATATATCGTCGCGTTACTTTGATACACTTACGCGTAACGCTTTAATTAATCAACAACTTGACCTTTTTAACAACTACTTTTATTATAATATAAAAACGAAACTTTGTATTAACCGCAAATACTTGCTAAAAGATATTTTTTAGCCTCTTTTATTATTTTAAAACGACGATCAAAGCAAAGTATTCGCTACTTGCAAAAGTTATAAAGATAAGAATAATATTAAGCTATCTCTTTTCAGATCGAAATATACTTTTCTTTTTAATAATAATCAGCTAACAAAAAGACTTCGAAGTCGACTTCGACGTGCTTTAATTGCAGTTTCTTTATTACGAGCCTCTTTTCGGAAATCGTAGCGCTTATTACGATATTTTTTATTTAAGCTCGGTCACCCTTACCTTTCGCAGCGTACCTTTCGTAAATACCCGCTTAGATCTTCTTTTATAATATTACGCAATCTTGCGCTTCGGCTTAGCCCGCTTTTATTATTATTACGAAGATATATAAGTTTTACGCGTAGGCTTGCTCGAAGTGATAAGATAAATAGCATAAATAATTGCATAAATAAGTCCTTTTAGCTAAGTTACTAAAGTTACTAAAGTTATTAAAGTTACTAAAGTTACTAAAGTTTCAATTCTACGGCTTAGCGCACTTAAGATTCAAGTTTTAATAGACATATATACGGTGATTCTACGCGTAAGCTTGCTCGAAGTAGTAAGATAAGTAGCATAAGTAGTAGCATAAGTAATAGCACAAACAATAGCATAAGTAAGTCCTTTTAACTAAGTTACTAAAGTTATTAAAATTATTAAAGTTATTAAGGTTTCGATTATACGGCTCAGCGCGTCCAAGATTCATGTTTTAATAAATATATTACTACATACGATAATTCTACGCGTAAGCTTACCTGAAGTCATAAGATAAGTAACATAAATAGTAATATAAATAAATCCTTTCAGCTAAGTTATTAAAGTTACTAAAGTTATTAAAGTTACTAGAGTTACTAAAATTATTAACGTTTCAATTCTATAGCTTAGCATACTTAAGATTTAAGTTTTGATAAATATATATACGGTAATTTTACGCGTAAGCTTGCTCGAAGTAATAAGATAAGTAATATAAATAATAGTATAAGTAGTAGCACAAGTGGTAGCATAAGTAAGTCTTTTTAGCTAAGTTATTAAAGTTACCGGAGTTATTAAAGATATTAGAGTTATTAAAGTTATTAAAGTTATTAAAGTTATTAAGGTTTCGATTATACGGCTTAGCGCGTATAAGAAATCGGGTTTTGTTAAAGGTTTATACGGTTTTATACGTAAGCCGCCGCAAAGTAGCATAAGTAAGCCTTTTCAACCAAGTTATTAGAGTTTTCTAGGCTGCTCCATGGGGCCCCATAGGGCCCTACGGAGTTTTGAGTCCTTCTTACGAGGGAACCTACGAGGGGTACAAAATTCTGCCCTCTTTATAAGGAAACCTTATAAGGCGTAAGGTTACTTCATAAGGTTTTGTTGTGCGGAACAGGCATGGTTCCACCCAAGCTACATGTGACATATCATGTGACCTCGCTTAGTAGCGCCTTTAGCATACTAGAGCTCTTAGGTACATATATATAGATCTTGACGAGCTTCTTAAATAAAATATACTAAGCTTCATTCAATCTACAAAATCTCCTTTTGATCTTAATACTAATAAGCATTACAGTTAAGAGCTATATTCGTACTCACGAGCTATTCAGTTAGTCTTTAATAACCTCCGAATTAATCGAAAGCGGATTCTGCAAGTCACTTTAACGCTACTTTGCTACAATTTTCATTTTGCAATCTGTCCTTTTCAATTATATTTATTCTTTATAACCAACACCCACCACCCTTAAGAACTCTAACTAATTTTAAAAGCTTTAGTTACAAAATCAACTGCTATAATAATAGACGACAAAGTAAAAGAGGTTCTTTTAATCAACAAAACGAACTTTATAAGGCGTAGCGACTTTTTAAGATAGATTACGAACTACAAATACTTTATCAAGCGCTTTAACATAAAACAATACGCAGCTCTTCGTATTAAAGTAAAAGAACCTGCTCTTTTTATCGAGCAGATTAGATTAAAAACGAAGTCTATTATAAAGATAGTAACGGAGCTTAACAACGAATAGTTTTAAAACTAAGACCGCTAACGAAAAGCTTAAAAAGAACTGTACTTAAAAGCTTTTGCAAACGATCTTAATAGACTTTTACAACTAAAAGAAGCTGAGTTCGAAGACGTCCGAAAAGCGTATAACGATAATATAAAAGAATACAACTTCGCTATAAACAATTAAAAGATTTTAAGTAATAAGAGCAATCAAATTATAAACTAGATCAGAAAGACGGTTAAGAGCTGTTGTGCGGAACAGGCATAGTTCCACCCAAGCTACATGTGATATGTCATGTGACCTCGCCTAGTAGCGCCCTTAGCATATTAAAGCTCTTAAGTACATGTACATAAATCTTAACGAGCTTCTTAAATAGAATATACTAAGCTTTATTTAATTTATAGAATCTCTTCTTGATCTTAATGCTAGTAAGCATTACAGTTAAGAGCTATATTCGCACTTACGAGCTATTCAATTAGTTTTTAACAACCTCCGAATTAATCGAAAGCGGATTTTGCAAGTCACTTTAACGCTACTTTGCTACAATTTCATTTTGCAATCTGTCTTTTTTTTAATTATATTCATTCTTTATAATTAATACTTACTACCTTTAAAAACTCTAACTAATTTTCAAAAGCTCTAGTTATAAAGTCAACTGCTATAATAATAGACGATAAAGTAAAAGAGGTCTTTTTGATCAACAAAACGAACCTTATAAGTCGTAGCGACTTCTTAAGATAAATTACGAATTACAAATACTTTATCAAGCGTTTTAGTATAGAATAATACGCATCTCTTCGTATTAGCGTAAAAGAACTTGCTCTTTTTATCGAGCAAATCAAACTAAAAACGAAGTCTATTATAAAGATAGTAACGGAGCTTAATAACGAATGGTTCTAAGAGTAAGACCGCTAACGAAAAGCTTAAAAGGAATTGCACTTAGATGCTCTTGCAAACGATCTTAATAGACTTTTAAAACTAAAAAACGCTGATTTCGAAGACGTCCGAAAAGCGTATAACGATAATATAAAGAAATACAACTTCGCTATAAACAATTAAAAGGTTTTAAGCAATAAAAGCAATCAAATTATAAATTAGATTAAAAAGACGGTTAAGAGCTTTATTCTCGAAGAAGCGATCTTGGCGGCTTTAAAAGAAAACAATACTT